ATAGACTTTCATACCACCCACCAGTTCCACCCTTAGGAAACTTCCCAAGAGGAATGAAAATATGTCCGTGCAAAGACTTACATACAAATATTCACAACAGCGTTATTTATAATAACCCCAAACTGAAACAATCCAAATGTCCACCAACTTGTGAAAGGATAAACAAAAAGTCGAATACCCACACAGTAGACTATTATTGGGCACTAAAAAGGAATGAGGTTACAGATACATGCTAACCCATGGGTGGACCTCAAAAACACTACGCTGAGTGAAAGAAACCAGACGTAACGGACTACATACTGTGTGATTCCTTTTATATAAAATTTCCAGAAAAAGCAAATCCATAGAGACAGTAGGTTAGTGGTTGTCTAGGACTGGGGTGGGAGTAGGGACTGTCTGCCAACAATGGGAGAGACCTTTCTGGAGTGATAGAAGTGGTTTAAAACTGGATTATAGTAATGATACACAACTCTATAAATTTATTAAAAATCACTGATTTGTATACTTTGAATAGATGAACAGATTTTATGGTAAGTACCTCATACCTCAATAAAGCTTTTTTTTTTTTTTAAACGAAATTATACCCCCATCCACATTGCTTGAGAGTTGCTGAAGTGTCAGTGTCACTAAGCACTGGGCAGTAACACTTCCAATCTTTTCTTTAAACCAGACTGGTTTTAAAAACTCACATCTCATTATTGTTAATAATATACTATTCTCTGACTTTTAGTAAAACTAAACATTTTCATCTATTGAGTCTGTTATTTTCTTATAAGGATATACATCTTTTCCATAAGGACATGTGAGCCTCCTTATCTTTCTAAAATAGCACAATTTTTTCAGTGATACGTGGTACAAATTACTTTTCCCCCAGTTGTTCATAAATTTTAAAATTTTGTTAACAGAGTTTTCTTTTCTTTGCCATACTGACATATTCATTTTTATGTAGTCAAAGTTATCTCTATTTTCATTTACAGAATCTGTCTCTGGTGTTATAATATGTGATACTCCTTTGAAAGATTAATCAGAAACCTTGAGTATTGTTAGTTAAGCATCCCAAGCCCAGGGCCTTTCTACTTTATGAAAAGAGATAAAACGTAATTTCAAATCTCAAAGCTAGAGGCAGACAGACTTTTCTTCCTTAAACCTTTATTTTAACTGTAAAGAGAGACTAGGGTTTACATTGCAAATTCCTGGAAAACTGCCTCATTAGAGAAAATTTCTGATGTGATACACTAGACATTTCCAATAGTTCCCGTGATGAAGAACTGGAAAAATAAAAAGAAGGATGTGAAAATGTGTTTGCTACTCATGCCAGGACCATGGCTCTAGGACTTGCTGGCTGAGGTCTCTGTGTAGACCATCAGGTCATCACATCACAGCGTGATCACTGTAAGCATTCGTGGATGTCTGACCAGAACAGTCTAGAACTCAGTCATTCACTGTCCCACCACCACCCGAGTCTAGGAATTAGTGGGTGGTGACCCACCACCCATTAGGTAATGAATAGAGGAAACTCAACTTTATTTAAATCTCACCAACTTGGGAAGGGATGGAACGCTAACTGAAGAACTCGTCACCACTGAGGGCTATACTGCTTCAAAAAATACTCCCGCAGTTATAAAAACCATTTGGTTTCGTGTAGTTATGACTATCACACACGAAGATATAGATAAAACTCACAAAGGTAAGACAGACTCAAGGATGTATTGTACAACACGGAGAATACAGCCAATTTTTTTTGTAACAACTGTAAATGGAAAGTAACCTTTAAAAATTGTATAGGGCTTCCCTGGTGGCGCAGTGGTTGAGAGTCTGCCTGCCTATGCAAGGGACACGGGTTTGTGCCCCGGTCCGGGAAGATTCCACGTGCCATGGAGCGGCTGGGTCCGTGAGCCATGGCCACTGAGACTGCGTGTCCAGAGCCTGTGCTCCGCAACGGGGGAGGCCACAACAGTGAGAGGTCTGCGTACTGCAAAAATAAATAAATAAATAAACAAATATATATATATATATATATATATATATATATTAAATAAATATATATATATATATTTAAAGAAAAGAAATGTCATAAGACTGTTTTCTATTAATGTGGATACTGTGGCCTTGGAGGTACAGTATATACCTGAGGCCTGGTCATGTTGAGATACAATCAGAAGAGGCAGCCAAATGCCTGAAAACAGAAAATGCCTGCTTTTCTCTTTGTATATTTGAAACCGCCCCCCGCCAACACACACTTTCAAGACTGGCCCCAGTTCAACCTTCTTTCTTTATCTATCCTACAGCTTTTAGAATCTATACTATGTATTCTGGGACATATATACAGGCTTAATATTATTCAATTGTTTTGTGGCCACTACTCTTATCACCTCATTGAATTAAACAGAAGCTCCATGAGGGTAAACTTCATATCCCTATGGCATGCAAGCAGTGCTAGGATTCCAGATGTTTCTACTGACTTTATTAGTGCTGTTTCTTACTCTGCAGCCTCAACAGTGCTCATTAAATAACCTTTCTTGATTTCTGGGAAAAGTTGAAAAAAAGGGGCCAAGACGGTTAAAAAAAGAAAAAAAACATTGTGGGGACACTTTCGAAACTTATAATGTACAACAGGCAGTACTGCAGCCAAGAAAAAGATCGTGGAGCAATATGTACATGATACCCCAGCTTCACAGATCCTGCAGAGCAACAGACTGGCTCCAGTTCTCTTCTTTGCGTCTAGGCAGCCTTTACCTAATGACTATTGGTTCCTATGTAAGTTTCCGTGACCTCCAGGGTTCCATGAGGCGGCTCCAAGGTTTGCCTTGGAGATGGGATGGCCGTGGAAGCCATGTTTAATTTGTGGCTGCTCCTGGCCAGGTACCAGTCCAGGTCTTTTGGCCATGGGTATAAATGAAGAGCATTTCTATTAACCAAGGAGAGCTTTCCCACCTCTGAAAACACTCTGATGTCCCTAGGATGCCACACAGGTGCCTGCATACAGGTCTTCCCCTAGTCCCAGGATGCCTGGCTAGCTTCTTTATGGCTAGCTTCTTCCCTGCCTTCTAGGGAAATAAAACAATAGTTAAACGCCAGTTCCTCTACTGCTCTTCTTTTCTTCCCTTCTATTTCCCTAAGAGAGGTGGGCAATGAGGAAAAGTAAGAGTAATGGTTTCACCAACTCTGACCCTTGGACAACAAGGATTCCGGCACATCAGGGTCCATTATAATAAAGAATTTGTGCACCTCTAACCTACTATTGGTCTAAATTTGTTAATAATTCCCAAGAAAGGAGATGGCATCAACTCACTCAGCAACCCATTTCTTGGTGACTCTACTAGAATTCCCAGCTTCGTCATTAAACCAAAGATAAAATGCTGAAAATTGTGGTCTCATTCTAATATCCTCGTTCTAGTAATGCAAAAACAATACTTTCATAAAAATTAAGTTTAAATAATGAACCTAAATTATTAGTACTCAATATGCCATCCATTTTCTTAGGCTGGGAGTCTCTTTGCATTTCAAACTCCTCTTGACACACCCACCACTAAATGAAGAGAATGAGTAAATAATGTCTGAAAATAAAGCCTCTAGACCTGCAGCATCTCATTAAATCTCTGGTACTAGCCATTGGTTGTTGAGACCCTTGGGTAATTCCTGTCTCTAAGCCCCAGTTCCATGGAATATCCCTGTCAAGGTTAAACGAGAGGATTAAACTAGATGTTAAATCAAACTCTGCCCACACTATGAGGCACATAGTATGCGCACAATAAACTCTAAGATTTTTTTAAACTTTTAATAATAATGTTTTTTTAAAAATGGAGGCGACAAGTTTCCACCAAATTCTTAGTAAAGACAGATAAAATGGCAAAAGCTTCTGTATTTTTAAAGCTTCAATATTTAAAAAATAATTCAGTCATTTACACACACACAAATCATTCCACCATCTTTAACGGATAAAGCAGAATATTATTTGCCCTTTTGCTTCAGATTTAACACCCTCACTGGTTAACAGCGTTGGAAACACGAGGGCAAGGCATTTTCTTAGACACAGCCGCTACACAGCGGTTTTGCCTCGGGGTGGGAGGAAAGCCTTCCCTTCCTCCCTGGGACAATGACAAGTCGCAGCCGGACTCCGAGGGAAACGTGCGTCCCCATGCGAGTTACTTGGTGTCCGGGGCCTGTGCGGAAGGGGACATAATAGTCCGCCAGGAGTGACCCCAGTGCCCCCTACACACCCAGGGGCGCGGGAGCACGCAGACCCCGCCTTCCGGGACCGAGTGTGAGTTTGGGTCCCCGCATCGTACCCGGTGGCCCCTGCCCTTTGCAGCCACGGAGCGCGCGCCCCCGGCGGCGTCCCGTCCTGCGTGTGGCCAACTCCGCGGCTGCCGCCGCCAACTGCGGGCAAGTCCAGCCACCCCGGCCCCGCCTGCGCCGTCCCCAGCCCTGCCTGACACTGGAGTTGGTACATACGGGTCTGCAGCGCAGGCGAGCAGGGGAGTGAGCGCTATTTTAAACATGGCTTTCCCTCTACTGTAGCCTCAGAGCCATCGCTGCGCACCGGCGTGGGCACGGCCCACATGGGAATAACCCCGACATCTGCCCGACTTATTGGATTCATTTTCGATCTCCCTATGCGTGGACTTGTTCCCCACCCCGCGCTGCTTTTCCTCCACACTAACCGCAACCTAGCAGTTTGTAAAGAGGAAACTCCCCTCCTGGAAGCGGGGGTGAAAAGCGCTTTTGCTTCTTGTTCGAGGTGGAAACCATTCCGGCTAGAATGAGTTCAAAAAGAAGGGAAGCCGGGTCGCCGGAAAGAAAGTAACATTCAGAGATCGATGGGGACAGAGGGAGGGCGCAATGTCTGCAACAGGCAACTGAAAACAAGCACTGAAGAAGCAAAGAGACTCGCAACCCCCGAGTTACTACCGAGTGCACTGCACGCCATCCATTGCAATGACAAGATTTGCTGTTAGCGCAATTTGAAGGCCTTTGAAATGTTTTTTGGTAAGACTTACCTTTCTCTTCGGCATAATGACGTTGGTGAAGCTAAAAAGTAAAGCAACGGGCTGGAACTGCTGGCACCGCCGCTGGAGGCTGCCCCCGCCGCAGCTGTTCACGCGCAAGGCTCGGCGTAGCCCGGCCTCCGGGACCTGAACCTCCGCGGCTCCCTCCAGGGGCCCTCTACTCGCTTGCCTCCCCGCTCCTCCAATGAGGAGCCCCGGCAGCCGGCCGCGAGGCCCCATTGGCTGCGGCAACGTTCTAAACTCCACGAGGGCACGCCCACCTCCGTGCGCACGGTACGCTCTGTTGTAGTTTCCACTTCACCGGAAAAAAAAAAAAAAAAAAAAAATCTGCCTGGCGACTGAGCATGCCCAGTTCAACTAGTAACCCCCAAGCCACAGGATCCTGTAGTTTCATTGTTTTGCCGCTCCCTTTTTGGATTGTGTCAGTTGGAAGTGTAGGCCTTCATAAGGAAGAAAAAGAGTAAGGATGGACACATTAATTTTATAAGGTAAATGTATACACAGCAGGCACTTTATATAGTTTCCTGTAAAAGCTTGTAATGAATGCTGTGTGATGGAGCGCTGTGAAAGTGGGAAGGTACTCTGATCTGGAAGAGTCTGGCAACCTTTAAGGGTCTCGGTTTCCCCTTCTAGGTTTCTAGTGACAATAATCCCTAAAATTGCTTAGGAATAGTTTCCTGAAATCTGATTACAAATCACTCACTAATTCAGCCACCTTCAAACCAGGCTTGAAGGTGAACAGAGTTCACCTTCCATATTTGTTATGGAAATTAGAGAAGACTGAAGGTCAGAACAGATTATTTTATTTTTGAAACATATTTAAATGACAATTTAAATATGCATAATTTAATGTTTCTCAAAGTTCTGCAAGGCATTTAACAGGCATTGCAAACACTTCTGAATTTATGAAATCATGCTTACCCTGATACCAAAACCAGTGAACCACAAAAGTAAAGAGAGCTACAGACCAATATCCCTCATAAAATAGACACAAAAACCTTGAACAAAATTTTAGTAAATCAAGTAGCTATAAATGAAATATAACTTTTAAAAATTGTGAATCACCTCTATGTTGTACACCTGGAATCTATATAATATTGTACATCAGGTATACTTCAATTTAAAAAGTTCTTTTTAGTAAATCAAATCCAACAACATTTAAGAGAATGACCAGTTAAGTTTATCCTGGGAATGCAAAATTGGTTTAACCTGAAAATCTGTCAATGTAACTCACCGTATTGCTGGAATAAAGGGGAAAAAAACCCCATCAGTTCAATAGATACAGGAAAAGCACTAGTGAAAGGTTAAGCAAATTATGGTAACTACATACAGTAGAATACTACTCAGCTTAATAAAGAGGAATAAAATATTCCTGAATGGATGAATGTCAAAAACAAAATGCTATGTGAAAGAAGGCAAATACCAAAGACCACACTGAATAATTCCACTCACATGAAATTATTTTTTAAAAAAAGCAAAATTAGGCATGGTTAGTTTTATAATCATATTAGAAGGCAAAAGTTCACATTATAGGAAAACACTAATGAAACCTTATGCTATAAATATGGCCAAATCCACTTTGGTCACGCAGAGGCTACAAATAGGTATTAAATAACATTATCAGGTAATTAATTTTAATGCTTGACATTTTTCTTTATTAATTTTCAGAGTAATGAATTAGTATCCTAGAAAACTCCAGAAGTAGTCAATGACTTTCTTTTTTGTAATATCTTTAGGAACTCACAGATTTTTATATATTTGGCATGCTTCAATCTATTGCCATTATTACTTTTTTTTGATACTCATATTGCCCCAAAAGACTTCTTTGTTTATCAGTAAATTCCGAGGAGTGTTTCTCTTGTTTTGATGTATCAACCTCTAAAACTGTAAAGTCTTCTCTGCAGGATGTGGATGCTGTCTTAGCCAATTTAGACAATGGATAAATGAAGAGAGTTACTTCCTGAAGAAGGAAGAAGGAAAAAGTGAGTAAACAAACCTCTTTTCCAATTCCAACTCCTCTCCCCTTCTTTCCTACTCAGAACAGTTGGAATCTTACACTGACCCCAGCACTTTTCAAACAGCAAGATGAAACCATTTTATGGTACCATGACTATCATTAAGGAAGATGGGGGAGGGAGAAGGGAAAAGAAAAAAGGGCAGAGCATAGAAAATATAAGTGCATTTCACACAGTAAAGGCAAGTCGTGTTTTATAAAGCGTTTCCATTTTCCATACGTTTCCATGTAAACACATACCACGCATAGGTACATGTATGTGGAGTGTGTGTGTGTGTCGTAGGTTGTGTCTTGAAATGTATTTTTAGGATGGGTCTTGGTGAAAAAACCTTAAAGCTACTGCACAGTCCTAATGAATCTTGTGGATCTCTGGGGCTCCCAGCACTTTCTTCCTCTGGAAGAAAGGTGTTTAGTCTTCAGATCTCGAAAGGAAATCTTGAAAGGAAGGGATCACCTCCTTCTTGATCTGTCCCTCCTTCCCTCTTTCAGGCAGGCAAAGACAGGCTTTTGCTCTAAGTAATGGCAGTTGTGGAGAAATCGATACTAGAATTATATTTTGTTGCCTCTGATAGTTCTGTAATTCCTGGGTAAGTTACTATTCTTCAGTGAATAGGCCAAAGAACTCCAAAGGTGAATGAACGAGAAGTGGCAAAAGAATAGTCTTTTTTTTGTATTTTTATCAGTCAAGTCTCTAATTGGATTGAGTGCTAACTTTTGAAGAGACCACATTTAGTTTTTGCAAAGTAACTGGGACAGAGAGCCACTGGTCCCAAATCATAGACACTGCCTGTGATTCCCAGACCCTAACCCCAACTAACTGAATCAGAATTTCTTATGGCTGGCCTTGGGAATCTGCGTTTCAAACAAGCTTCTCATGTGATTTTTATACTAGAATTTGCTTGGGCTCCTTCCTTCCCCAATTCCAGTTTTGCCAGGCACTACCCACCTTCTTCGCTAGTTGCAAGATTAAAAACGTCCCACCCCAAGATCCTTAGAAGAGCACCTCCTCCCAGCTTCCCAGGCAGCGCTAGGCAGCTCCTCAGCCCTTGGCAAGATTAAATTCCCTGGCCCCCCCATCCTCAAAGGGAACCCAAGCTGAGCAAAACCCCACAAGCCACATCCTTTGAAGGCTCTATTATTTCAGTGATTGGACAAGCACACCTTGTAACTGCATTAGCAAGGAGGGCCAGGGCGTTCTGTGATCTTCCAACAGGAACCCCCTTTTTGTTTTTCCCAGCCTTCAATCACATTTAATCTGTGTGCAGATTCTTTACCCCAAGTGTGTTTTACACAGTTTTCCCACCCCTGGTCCTTTTCAGGTCCAATCTCTGTGTTATTTACTTCACCTTCTTCTTGTTGCTGCCGCTTAAACTCACAGGAGTGTAATTAATTTGCTCTTTGTAGTTGCCAAATGACTATTTGGGCAGGAATTAGCCATGCTCAGTAGCTAGAACCAGGGATTGGGTTACATTTGTTCGGCCATCCTTTTTGGCCAGATTGTCCGCATGTCCAGCGCCAAGAGCCAACAAGGTTCAAGGTGGTGAAAGTTAAGGGAGGGGAATCCCCAAGGTTCAAGGCAAGGACACAGCAAAGTAAGGACACACCCCATCCCCTTCAGTGAAAAACCACAGGCTGTCAGGTTCCCAAGACCAGTTGGGGTTGTACGTTCTTGCACACTACGGCCAGGGCGATGCACTGTCAAGCAGGCCCACCCCTCCCCTCTCAGCTGGGATCTTGGCACCCATTTCTGATGTCTTCTGCATTTCCTTCAAACCTCAGAATCCCTGGGAGCTGGTCGGAAATATCCAATAGCCCCATCCCTGTCACTATTCACAGGGGACCTGCCTTTCAGGGCAGATCAAACCATTTCCTTTTCTCAATGATAGCAAAAAAACACCAAACAACAACAGCAAAACTAGCCAGGTGTAGGGAAATGAGAATCAAATGAATCATGCTGGAAAACACCATAGAGCAATTGGAGATGATTTTCAGGTTAGGTTTGTTAAGAGCTGCTTTAATTCTCAAGCACTAGGTAAGAGTTAATAGAAGCAATAAAATGACTTTGCCAGGTCGGAATGAATTCTAACCACAAGGCGATGAATTTTTACCCAGCAGTGGGAAACTAGCCTGAAAATGTTCCATAATCTTTAAGGCTGCTTTCAAGCATGGAGGGTTTTTGTTGTCATTGTTTAAGCATGAGATTGTGCCGTTCCCACAGAAAATCTCATCCTTTCCCCGCTTCTAATTCCTACTCCCACTTCTGCTGTCCAGAATCTTTAGCAAATGGTTTCTTTCTGTTTGTTTGTTTTCTGAATAAAGGTAAGAGGTCAAAGTTTTTTGTTGTTTTAACCAGTTTAAAAATACATTCTTTCACAGACACAGAAAACAAACTTATGGTTACAAAAGGGGAGATGGGGGAGGGGAGAGATAAGTCAGGAGTTTGGTATTAATAGATACATACTATTATATATAGAATAGAAAACCAACCAGGGCCTACTGAATAGCACAGGGAACTATACTCAATATCTTGTAATAACCTATAATGGAAAAGAACCTGAAAAAGTGTGTGTGTACATATATATATATATATATATGTGTGTGTGTGTATAACTGAATCACTTTGCTGTACACTTGAAACTAACACAATATTGTAAATCAACTGTGCTCTCATAAAAAATTCCTGCCCCCAATAAATAAATTCTTATCAAAAAGCCCTGATTTTGCAATCATAAGGCCTGAATTCAAATCCCAAGCTATGATCACATTACTCAGCCTCTTTGAACCCTGGTTTCCTTGTTGTACAACGAAGAGAATAATGTTTAGCTGAGGCAGACGCTGCTAGTTACCTGCCTAATATTCACTCTGGTTTTCTTCCTTATTAACAGAATTCTGATTTTGGTAATAGTTCTGGCCAAAACAAAACAGAACCTTTCATCCTCCAGTTCCCTGGCAGAGGGAGAGGTAGCCACGTGACACTGTTTTGGAAACGAGATGTGTGCGGGAGTCATGAGGTTGTAGTGTAAACATCACCTATAACAGGGCGGACCCAGCCCCGCAGCTGCCTTCTGCCCTCGTTCCTCCCCTTTCCATTCTGGAAGTTGCTGGTAATGTCTGGAAGTAAGACAGCTGTCTTATGTCTGTGAGGTTGAAGGCCACAAGTTTAG